TTTCCCATGAAAAGTTTCAGCTTTGATGAATCAGCACTTTCAGGCCAAAAAAAAAAAAAAATTTCATTGAAAAATTCCCCAACCAGCCCTACTTGTTATGCCTCAGGCAAAGCGTCTCCTTGCCCCAGAGATGTTAATCTGCTGCCCTCAATGCACTGGCCGTAGTGTCCCTGTGCCCTCCAGAGTGCCGGGACTGCTAATGTAAGAGGCCTTTGGTTAACCACTCAAGGAGGGCAGGCTTCTTGCCCACGTAAAGCCCTGTGTCTTCCACACTGTTTGCAAGTCAGCTTGTGTACTCCTGCTTTCTGTGGTTGTGCCATGTAACAAAGTTGGAGAACCAAAGTAATGCATTGAGACTAGAGAAATAATTTGGGGCCCAATGTGCCGTACTAGTTACACAGGTAGAAAGAAATCCATTCTCATAAAACTAGTGCAGGCATAATGGAAAAGAAAGCTGTGATCATGTGGCATGCTCCTCATGTTCCACAGTGCCACAGGATCTCCTCCATGCATTTCGAGTGCAATGTGTCTGGGGCAAACTGCTGACCTTAGAATAGGTGCTGTACACTACAGTCACCTTTTAAATGGCAGATTCCCATGAGGAAGTAAAAGAGTTTATGCTGCTTAGACCAGCATTAACTCCCCTTCCATGCCTTCTTCCTCCCTCAGAGGAAGAGGGATAAGGCAGAAGTGAAGGAAGAGGAGCCTATGGCTGCATGGCTCAGGAGCACTAAGCCAAAGGGTGGGGAAGGACAGAAAGCAATGTGGCAGAAGTACCTTGCTCCTTAGGTGGTTGCCCCAAGATGCACAATCTTGGAACCTGCTTTCTTCAGGGGTTTGAAGACTGGAGTTTCCAGACCACACCACCTGTTAAAACCCTCCATTCTTGAGAGAAAACAAGAGGAAGTGCCATAAGAACTGTGTATCATATTGTATTCAAACAGCCACAGGCCTCCTCATTTTTTAGCAGCTAACTCATAGTTAAGGTTCTAACTGAATCACAAGATGATCTTCAAAATAATTGCCACTGAGTTGTGGACAAGATGTGAAAAAGTAATAATGGACCTCTATGAATACTGGTAATTTGGAAAAGCCAGATTAGACCTATGTAAGAAAAAAATTGCTGCAACAATATAAAACACTCAAGTATTATATTATGAC